GAACTTGTAACAAAGGTATAATTTACAAATTGTAAGTAAACTTGAAAATAGGATCAATAGTTGTTGATAAACCTACGTAATTCCTTAAAAAAGCAGTTCGGTTATTTTTAAATAAAAATACTAAAAAATATATAATGACAGTGGCAAGTTCAAACTGTCACATTTACTTTGTCGCACACTGTGCGGCAAAGTCCGTGCGTAAAAGTAAAACAAATGAACGCTAAAGAAAAGTGCTTCTTTTTGATCATCGCTTCTGTTGGCAAAATGGCGCTTTTTGATTCATTCGAATAAAAATGCTATTTTAACGGCCACACGTTATGGCGACTTAACAGTTCAGGATAACATTTTCCATAACGCAGCGACACAACCGAGGTGTCCGACCCAGTTATCCATCAACGTTAAAAAGGAAAAAATATAGGATGCATAAAGTGAGATGCCCTTATACGAATAGTCTATTAGTTAGAGAGAGAGAGAGTTAACATCAAACCATCTAAGCTTCTAAAACATATGCACCGCCACCACATGTGCACGTTTTGACCTTTTGGGTTGCCTACTACCCTATTTGTCTTTGTTTATGATTTACATTCGTTTTCAATTTCGTTTGTTATTGTTCTTGACCTATCTTCTCAAACACTTTCAATGGAGCATGTACAGAAGAAAGAAAAACAACCCGCAAACAATTTGAAAATTTAGTAGAGTTTGTGGACAAAAATAAAGTTTATTTTCAAGACCATTTACTAATTGTTCTAATAAATCTAACCTTATGAGACCACCTAAAGACATATTTTCGTTTTAAATTAAAAACTAATTATTGCTAAAACACAAAATTACGCTCTGATTAAACCCAATTGTTTAATTTATTCCTCCGAGCTTAACTTCGAGGGACGCACGTTAAGTTTGATAGCGGCATGTGATTTGATGCTGTTATTCTGAAGCGCTATTTCTTAATATAACGTTCGTCCATAGCGTGCGCCTGTTATAATATAAAGGTTTTACTGATACAACACACCAGTTGGAGCCACATAACGTGTTTGACGGATAACACGCACGCTAAAGTTAACGTGAGTGATACAGCACAGGGCTGAATGAAGAAGAACACAGTTACAAAGAATAAAAATACAGTTGTACTTTTACCTTGCAAAGTTGGTGCAAAGAATCTTCCATATCCTCTTTCATGGGTGTTTTGCTCCCTTGAAATGATAATATCGCGGTGTTCCATAACAAGTGGCTTCTCAAATCGGGGGCCTACAAGCGCAGTCGGGTTGAACCGCATATACCTAATAATGCATGAAATGCCACTCACCGATAAGACCGATAATCACTCCAGTCGGTTCTACTGAGTCTTCGTTCAAGGAATACCTGCCTATATTACCCCTGGCTCCATTGTTAATGAAACAGCTGAACGATGAGACGGAGAGGAGCGCAGCGAGTTTGATTTCATCGTAGGACAAACAATTTTCCAGACTTCGAGGGGCTCTTTCCTGGCTAGTTCCTGGAAACCTTATTCGGTTTTTCTCAACCAGCAGAGTCTCGCCCGTCTTAGTCACCTATCACCTCCCACTGGCCCACACTGCCCATATTATCCATCAGCATAAAGGTGTCAGATCGGCCATAAAAAACAACTGCTCGTTTTCTTAAAAGACGATCAATCAGCTCCTCTACTGTGAAGTTCTTGTAGAACTTCCGCTCGACTTGCGAACCAAAACGCTTCTTGTGCTGCAAAAAGTGCAGAAATAGTGGCAGGGCAGTTTCATGAAGTATGGGGTAGGCGGAATTTGCGTTGTTTGCTAGCGTCGCAATCGGGATCCCTGAAAAAATATTGTCACTGCAAAAATTGGTGAAAGCAACTTGAAAATTTGCCTTTGGTACGTAGGTATTCACACTTCACGGTTTTAATGGGAAACTCTATGGGAAAGTGGGCACTATTTTCCACAATCTCGCTTACACTAACTTTAGAATCGTGGGTTTTAGTGGGATTTTTTGCAAATAACTTCCACTGTTCTGGTGGAAGCACTGGGGAGCGGTTGGGCCAGGCCTCTTGCTTCGCCATGCTACTAGGCTGTTTTGCTTTACGATTGCAACTATTCTATTTTCGATGATTCGGTGCTGGGAAAACCTGCGTTATGTTATCTATCGGCATAAACGATTTTTTTATTTATTATCTGAAGTAGTGGTGATTCTGGGAAAATGACATGTTTATCAATTCAAACATTATCAGTGCTTTATAGAACGTTTGCATTGGGAAAAGGGATTTTTTATAATTAAAGGTAACTTTTGAATTCGTTTTGGCATCGTTGGATAGAGAATTGAAAAGTCCATTCAGTCGTAACAACGTGAGTGAGGAAATTCGAGTAGTTTTGACCCAGAAAGTGAAATATGAATATCAGACACTTAGGTGCAAGATTATGCCAAAATTCCATGTTTTCCGTCCCGTTTTTGCTTATTTCTCGGAGGCAAAATGAGCAAGAACGCTCAT